ACAATAACCAATCAAAAGCAGGACAGAAATGTGAGCGGGTGTTGATAGCATGTCTTAGGTTCTGTTTGGGTCTATTCCCCATAACAAGAAATGAAGACCATTGGCTTGTTGACTTACCTGGTCTCCCTCGAAAACACAAGAGACAAGACACTATTCCATTTTTCAACCAACTTTGCAAAGCTGGTTAAAAAGCTAATTGGAAATGGTCTTAAAGACAAACCTTTTTTCCGTTTAATTACAAGTTTATTGCTTTAATGTCACCCTAAATTTTAAACTTGGCTCATGAACTATGGAACATGAAGACCGGTTCACATTGAAGCTACTGAAACCAAGGTTTTTAAAATCGGACCAGACCAGTTGGTTGAACCGGTCGGACCGATATCCGATAATAAAAATGGTTCGATTTACATAAAAAACCATTTGATGTCAAAATCGATCAAAACCAATCAAAACCGATGAAACCGATAAAACCGATAGAATCGAAAAAACCACCGGTTCAATTTCTCATGCAATCTTCTTTCTATTTTTTCCAATTTCACCCTCACAATTCCTTTCTTATACCGATTTTAACCCTTAATTTTAATAAAATTACAAAATCGCCTGCCCCTCTGATCAGATTCTCCCTTGTTATTTGGACCAATTGGTTTGTCAATTCAATCGGTTGAATTGATCAAACCAAAAATCGGACCTAAAAATGGTTCAATGATCGGTTCGATTTTAAAAACCTTGACTGAAACCCATTGAAAACGTTTGAAGAAGATGGGCTTTGTTTTTATATAATAAGAAAGAAGACTGACCATGGTGGGGGTGTTTGATTGACGGAATGTTGGAATTAAAGTGGTGCTCTTGGGAAATTTTCTGACCATCTTTGTTAACTAATATACATACCAAGCATGCCTTAGATAAATTTGCTTAATTAGTAATATTATAGTTATAATATTATGTAAAATTGTAATTTATAACTATGATATTATATTAATAAGTAGAAACATACAATATTAAAAATAAATTTTTAAGTAAAAAGAGATAATAATTATATAACACATATTAAACCATTTCTTAGGCCCAAAAAAGAAAAAAAGAAAAAAAAAGCCTTGTTTTTCTCTCTTCATGAAATTGAAAATATATAGTGGTGATATTAATTACACCCCCAATTTATTTTTAGTAGATCTAATTTGATTTTTTTTTATTTTTAGATATAAATTTCGAATAAAAATTTAACATATTATATAAATAATAATTGAAATCTTTTTATCAAATAAAAGCACTTGACAAAAACTTCATATAGAAATTTTTTTTTCAATTGTTATTTATATAAATTGTAAAATTTTTATTTAAAATTTATATCTAAAAAGATAAAAAATCAAAATACGATTGTTGAAAATGAGCGGAAGATAAAAAAAGACATTTATATACAACCACTACATCAAACGCTACCTAAGAGTAAGATAAGCTATAAGAATTGCACATCTTATGCCATGAATAAGTCTTCCCACGCGGAGTAGATATATCATATCTTCTTTGATGTAGGGGCATTTACCTCGAGTCAATTAATTTCACATTCATACTGGCTGGCTATATTAAATGTTCTTTAATTTCCATCTGATTTCCTAGATGTAGATGGGTTTAGCTTGAGTCGCTTGACTTCCTAGTTAATAGCTAGTGAATTCAAATTTTAATATGGAATTTTCTAAACTTTTTGCGGATAGGTTAAGTTTCATTAAATAAATTTCATTAAATATTGTATCTTTACTTAATTTTGTATAAATTTTTATACTAAATTCAATTAAAATAAAACAAAAAATGTAAAATTAAAATATAATATAATATTTATACTCGAAATCTGTAAAAAAATATGAATTTGATATAAAATTTATACAAAATTAATTATAGATTCTGTAATTAATAAAACTTAACTTATGCCCTAAAAGTATATATTAGACAAACCCTTCTAACATTAATTTTTGTTACACTTTACAATTTACATGGTTATTGACCTTAAATCAAAACTCAACGCCATTGCTAAGAACTATTACATCTTGCTCCTTCATTATTTATTTTTTTTTTAAATGATTGGTATATATTTAGTTTAATATATTTTTTAACACTTGTCCTGCTTTAACTATTAATATCTAATAAAAATATAGCTGATTTAATTAGTTTCTATATCTTTTTTACATTGTTGCATTTTTAAATTTATCTATTTTCAATTTTATATCACAAATAATAATTCTTTAATTAGTATATTATATAATGTATTGAACCAAAATGTGTATAAATCATTATTATTATTTTATATAAAAATTAAGAGATTGATTAATTGAAAATGCTTACATAAATATTTGAATGACACTATAGATTCTAAGGTAGAAAAGTCAATCAAAGACCTTATCCCAATCATGTTGTAAACCGCCAAAGCAAGCGCGACAACCCATTAGAGCCCAGCTAGCCTTATATCAGTGTTGTTTTACTTTTCTATCACAAACAAAGCCTGATAAAACTACATCAAGAGACGCAAAAACTCCCAAAAGTGAAAGAAACTCTCACAAAGAAGAGAAATTAAAAAAAAAGAAAAAAGAAAAAAGAAAAAAAAGAATCTAACCTTTATTCATCCTATCCTCACTCACCAAGGGAATAGAGACAGTGGATAGAGAAAAAGAAAAATTAAGGGCGAAAGGATCAGAGGGGGCAGAGTAAGGGGGGGCCAGGGTCTGAGCTTACATGGACAGAAAAACAATCAAATTAAATTCTTGATGAGTAGTTTAAAGTGTTGAACTAAAAATGAGCAAATGAAACAAATTTTGAACTTGTAGATTAACTTGTTAATCTCGTAGAGGTCTTGTCCTTAAAAACATAACAGATTGTTAAGGGGGTATAAATGGGTGCAATCAAGTGGCGAGATGTGAGATTCTATTAATGTGGCTAGGCATGATTATTTGCCTTTATGCATCTAAATGTACATTTATTAAAGGAAGATATGTGTATGTACATTCATTTTGAATTCATGTACATTCACTAGATGCGCTGAACTTGATCAAATAATCAATGTCTATTTGGGCTTGCACACCAAAAGACATCATAGCTTCTATAAAAGAGGAGGTTCAAAACACTTTAAAATACAATTTACTTATTTTGTCTTTTCTTACATTTACATTTTCAGAAAGTTTTTGATATATTTTGTCATATCCTAGAGACATTTTATGTTCTAAAGATAGCGATTTCATTTCATGCCCCAAAATTGCTTTTTTTTTTTTTTTCTTTTATATTTTATTTTATTTTAATTTATTTTATTTTTTAAAACAAGGAAAATTTAAAAATATATATATATAATCTATAAAATTTGTACATACAACCCACAAAAAATAGTTTTCATTTTCCTAGGAGTCTTGATCACTAAACCGAAACATGGGATCCATTCATATTTTATTTGGATACCTCTTTTTCTAACAATTTTGATATACCAAGGTAAGAGAATAGAGTTTGTGGAGGATATACTTCTTTGCCCAAGGTAAGAGAATAGAGTTTGTGGAGGACATACTTCTTTGACCGTGACAAAGACATTTGCAGGTATCCCACATCGAAAGCTGCCTCGTTAAGAGTGAGATACGAGAACATGGTCTGTGGAGAGCACACAAAGAAATGTCCTTCAGCTCTGTGTGAATAAGTCTTCTTTTTCTCTTTTATTTTTTATTTTATTATTTATTTTTTTTAAAAAATAATAAAGAATAAGTCTTCTTTGGCTGCGTGAACAGTGTTTCACATTAATTTCAACGAAAATGATATAGAAATATCAACTTTGAAACGCAGATGTGAATCTTTACTCGTATATATATGATCTTTTTTTATTTGTTGTTTCAATTTTTATATGCAAAGATCGTACGTGCGATATGTGAAAGCATGCACCAATCCCTGACCATAAACTATGGGATCAGTTCATTGCATAAGTAGATTAGAAATATTTTTGGAACATCGAAAGAAATCATATTGGGATTCTACACATTAAAATTATTTATTGAATTCATTCTCAAAGATATCAATTGAAAAACCTTCTCTTAGGCCCCCCAAAAAAAAACCTTGTTTTTTTGTCTTCATGAGATTGAAAATATATAGCTGTGATATTAATTACACCTTCAATTTATTTTTAGTAGATTTAGTTTAATTTTTTGATTTTTTGAACATGAATTGATAAAAATTTAATATATTATATAAATGATAATTAAATTTTTTTTATCAAATAAAAGAACTAGATAACAACTTCATATAAAAAACATTTCAGTTATTATTCATCTAAATTATTAAATTTTTATTTAAAATTTATATTCAAAAAAATCAAAAAATTAAATTAAAATTACTAAAAATGAATAGAGAGTAAGACAACCACTACATCAAACACTTCCTAAGAGTAAGATAAGCTAAGAAATGTACACCTTAGGCCATGGATTATAAGTCTTCTCCAGATCTCCCACGCGGAGTAGATATATCATCATATCTTCTTTGATGTAGAGACCTTTAGCTCAAGTCAATAGATTGGCCAAAAATGTTTTGTATTCTTCTAATTTCTGAGATGTAGATTGTTTTGGCTTGAGTCGCTTGACTTGCTAGTCAATAGCACATGGATTCAAATTAGGGCTAAAATCTTGGCAATGTAGGAAAATATAGGCCATTGATGGGCCATAGCTTATGTACATAAGGGATATGTATTGTTGGACCATTTTTCACGGTAGAGTATAGAAAAAAAGAGAGTGAGATACATCAACTAAAATTCTTTACTCTTCTATTTCAACATAATGTCCTCTATATAAGCCCTTCACCATGCATAATCTTCTTGCATCTCCAAGAGTACAAAAATCTAAACACAAGAACAAATTATGGTGTCCTCTTTTGCTTACTTCTTGTTTTTTAGCTTCTTGCTAGTTTTTTTCTTTCAACCCTGTTTCCAACATTCATTATGTCGGAGACATGAGCACCTTGCCTTGTTACAATTCAAGGAAAGCTTTGTCATTGATAAGAGTGCTTCTTTTGATGATCCATTCGCTTATCCTAAAGTCAATCTCTGGAAATCCCAGGGGATGGATTGCTGCTTTTGGGAAGGCATATGGTGTGATCATGACACTGGTCATGTTATAAGCCTTGATCTCAGTAGCAGCTATCTTTTAGGTTCTATCAATTTCAATAGTAGCCTCTTCCACCTCATTCACCTCCAACACCTTAATCTCGCCTTCAATGACTTCAATTATTCTAAGATTCCATCTGCTTTTGCAAATCTTACACGTTTAACTTATCTCAACCTCTCTAATTCTTTCTTTTTTGGACAAATACCTTTTGAACTTTCAAAACTTGCAAGCTTGTCCACCCTTGACCTTTCTACCGGTTATATTAACCCTTTATCTCAAGAAAAAAAATTGTTAGAATTAAAAAGGCCAATCTTGAGAAGCTTGATAGAAAATTTGACAAGCTTGGAATACCTTTGCCTCTCTAACATCAAAATAAATTCTAGAATTCCTAGTACCTTAGCAAATATATCCTCCTTAAGGTCCATCCGTCTTAGCAACTGTGGATTGTACGGAGAGCTCCCTAGGGCAATTTTCCAACTACCAAAACTTCAAGTCCTTCGTGTGAATTACAACATAGGTCTTATAGGTAATTTACCTGAGTTTCAATTTCACAATCAACTTTTGCTTCTTGCAGTTCATTTCACAAGTTTTTTTGGTAACTTACCAGCCTCAATTGGAATGCTCAGCTCTTTAGAAGTTTTGCTTGCTGGTAATTGCAACTTCTCAGGCTTATTGCCACCTTCTCTTGGTAATCTTACCAACCTCCAAATGTTGACACTTGATAATAATAGCTTCACTGGTACAGTTGAGATCGACACATTTCTTGAGCTCAAATACTTGAAAGATTTGGTGTTATCAGAAAACAATTTTTCATTGCTAATCAAAACTAGGAAGAGTACCAATGTCATTTCTGCAAAGTTGGAAACTCTAGGACTTGGTAACTGTAACATAAAAGAGTTTCCAAGCTTCTTGCATAGCCAAGACCAACTAGAAATCCTTGAACTTTCTTCCAATGACATTAGTGGCAGGATACCAAAATGGATATGGGAATTTAGTAAAAGTTTGTCATTTTTGGACCTCTCCAATAACTCATTGACAAACTTTGAAAAATTTTCAATTTCCTTTCCTTTGTCTAGTCTAGAATTTTTAGACCTTAGTTTTAACCAGCTTAAAGCTTCATTACCAATCCCTTCATTGTCCATTAATTTCTTTTTAGCTTCCAAAAATAAATTTAGTGGAAACATCCCATCTGAAATTTGCAACCTAACTTCTCTCCAAATTCTAGATCTGTCTCATAATAACCTAAATGGGATGATCCCACAATGTATTGGCAACTTTAGCAACTCTTTGGTGGTTTTGAATTTGCAAAGAAACAACTTCAAAGGTCCAATTCCTCCAACTTGGGTAGCTGGAAACAATTTAAAGGTGATTCAACTAGGAGAGAACTATTTGAAGGGAAAGCTACCGAGATCATTGGCCAATTGTAGAATGCTAGAGTTTCTTGATCTTGGTAACAATCTTATCAAAGATACATTCCCTTATTCGTTGGGAACTCTTCCTAGATTGAAGATTCTCATTTTGCATTTCAACAAATTCTGTGGTGCAATCAGTGTTCTAAAATTAGATTCCTTATTTCCTAATCTTCAAATCATTGACCTTTCACATAATGGATTTGTTGGTCTTCTGCCAACAAAATTCTTCAACGTGTGGAGTGCCATGGCAGATGTTGATAAGGAGAACACAAAATACTTGCATGCATATGACAATTATGATTTGAATGGCTTCAATAGGTTCGCTTCCTATCCTTACTCAATCACAATAACAAACAAAGGAGTGAAGATGGAATATGACAAGGTATTAGAGATTTTCTCAGCCATTGATCTTTCTTGCAACAAATTTGAAGGAGAGATTCCTGATGTAGTAGGGAGCTTAAAGGGACCTCAACTGCTTAACCTTTCCAATAACATCCTTGTTGGTCCAATCCCACCAACCTTGGGAAATCTCAAAAATCTTGAAGCACTAGACCTTTCTGTAAACAAGCTCACAGGAGGCATTCCCATGCAGCTAACGCAGCTCAATTTCCTTGAGGTTTTCAATGTCTCACACAACCATTTGACAGGACCTATCCCACAAGGTAAACAATTTGATACATTTGATAATAGCTCATTTGATGGGAATTTCGGGCTGTGTGGATTGCCATTGTCAAGTAAATGTGACAACTTGAAGGCCTCGTCTCCACCATCTTCAACCTCTAAAGGAAATGGAGACTCTGGATTGCCAGCTGAAATTGGTTGGAAAATAGTGGCATTGGGTTATGGATGTGGTTTCCTTGTTGGTGTGGTGATTGGAAACATTGTCTTTGCAAGAACACATGAGTGGTTGATGAGGACTTACCGAATCAGGCTGTCAAGGGGGAGAAGGATGAGGAGGTTCTAGTGAAGATAAATGTTTATCTGTTGGTGGTAGATATAGCCTTTCATTTTTTTCCTACATTTCTCTATTTTTTCTTCTTTTTGTTTTGTGTGTGTGGATTATGATTCAAGTAGATAGAGTGCAAAACCAATGTATTGTGTGGATTGTTGTACTTTAAAGCTGCATCAATAAATTGGACTTCAACTTCATTAGATGATGTGAATTTTACTAATTTTAAATTTTGAATTTTCGAAGAGAGACCAAAAAACAAAGGCAAAGAAATGACAACGTATTCATTGTAAATCAGTTCAATTCAGTAAATACTGATGAAAGAGGAAACATAAATTATGTGAAGTAAACCACAAAATATGTTAGAAGAGCTCTTTTTGATCATTTGATGTCTGGTGATGGTGGTTGGGTTTTATCTTTCCGAGGACTTAAGTTGCTTTATTTAGCTCTTGGCGTTATGAACGACGTAGCCTCGCCGGTGATTCTGGTAAGGAAAGAAGAGTATGAAAAGGATGAAAAGATGGATCTTTGGTGGTGGTTAAGCCGTCTGCAGGTCATGGTTGTGGTGGTGGTTTCGTGATGGAAGTAGAAAAATGGAGGAGTTGATCGGCAGTGTTGCAGAGGAGAGAAGAGGTGTGTCAGCTGAAATGGGATTTAGGGTGCTGTTGAGTTTTAACTTTTAAAGCAATACATTGGTTAGACGGTGTGTTTTGGTGAAGATGGAATTGGGCTAGTTTGAACCAGTAGTAGGTAAACCGCTGACATGGGCTAGGTTTTGTCTTAAGGCTGCTGTGGGTTTGAACTAAGTGGATATGGGCCGCTCATATGGGTTCAATACATTGGGCCACTGCATTTTTAAGCCCATTTTGCGTAGAAAACTTCTTGGTAGTCTTGTTCCATTTCTTTTTTCCTAGTTGCACTTTGGCCTTCAACTTGTTAATTTCTTCATTATAGTCCCATTTTCTGAATTATTTGTAATTAAGCCACGTATCATATAATATTTATGTGATTAGTAATGTTAACACTAAAAAATAAAAGAGATAGTATGAAACCAAGTACTTTTTTTTTATCAAGAATAAAGAGAGAGCTTACAATAGAGAGAGAATGAACAAAAATAATCCCCTTCCTAAATCTAATATTAGAGTATTTATAAGATATTACATAGAATCACTTTAAGATATAATTCAAGTGTTTCAAGTGGATTTGTACTTTACAGTTGCAAGTAAAAATGCAGTGCAACTTCATTAGTTGATGTGAATTACTAATTTTTTTCATTTTAGAAAATTTTAAATTTTCCAAGAGATGGGAAAAAGCAAAGAAGATGATATATTCATCGTAAGTTAGTTCATTTGAGTGAGTTTAAGATTGTTAAAGTATGAAAAGTCAGCAAAAATTAAACTGAATTTTTAAGAAATCATGCTTGATGGAATGTTCAATTTGACAATTCAAATTAGATAATACATTAAACGGATTTTCTAATCTATGCCCTAAGTCTCATTAATTGTAGTATTTATAATTAATTTTGTTCAAATTTTTGTATAAGATTCAATTAAAATATAATATAAAATGTAAAAATAAAATAAAATAAATTTTTTTTGGCATATCAAAAAATAAAATAGAATAAATATTTATATTCAAACTCTGTAAAAAGTTATGAATTTGATATAAAAATATTTGTAAAATAAATTAAATATATCTTAATTAATGAGTCTTAACTTGTGCTTTTAAAATGTATGTTAGACAAATCCTTTATTAAAAGTACAGTTTGATTGAAATCTTTCAAGTTTTGACTATTATCTCATCTAAATAAATGAGTAAAAGTTTCTAACCCACTATAATACAAAGAGGATGACACTAGAACAACCAAGTCAAGGGGCTCAAGCTATCTACATTTCAGATGGGAAGAAGAGATCTTTTTTTTACCAACCTAGCTATGCCAGTACAATTATGTGATGTGAAATTAATTGGCTTGAGCTACAAGCCCATACAATATTATGGACCTACTAAAGACATTGACGACCAAAGAAGTAATTTCTCAGCTTATCCTTTTATATCTTACTCTAAAGAGAAAGTGTTCCACATGCTAAAAGCCTTGGTTAATTCACGATTAAAGATGTATATTTCTTAGCTTATCTTTCCACAAATTTTGCTCTAATCTTACCTTGAAGAGGCAGCGTTTCAAGTTGTGGTTGCATATAATTGCTTAAGGATCAATGTTGTCATTTTTTTATATAAAAATATTTTTATATAAATGATGAAAAACTCACATAGCAAGTGCAAGAGCAAGATTTGTACTTGATTGAGATAAGCTCTTTTTGCCAATGAAATTTGGGTCTAATTCCATTTGTTTCATTAACTTCTTTTTATGGGGACTCCACTGAACATAAAAAGATATAGAAAATGATGATGTGCAATATATGATTTGCACAATATATGAATCACTCTTGAATTGATATGTATTTACTTTATGTTTGGGGGTGTTGGTGATATAGGTGGATGAGTTAGCAACTGTGATGATGTGGAGACTGACTAGGATGATACCCGAGAAAATGAGAGGGGTTTTTTCGACGACACCCGTCTCATGTGCGAAAGGCTACATGTTATGGGCCATCCCATTCTATTGGGAGATGATATCTTGCAGTGAACTTTCTAGCAAAGCTTTCTTTAAAAAAAAAAAAAAGAAGATAAATCTTCCAACCAAGCCGATAGAGCTAGGTAGCAATGGCGGGACTCCAAGGGTTCAAGATGATTACATAACTATCAAAAACATGATGGGAGAAGTTCTATGTTGTTAAAGAGGGGCAGGAAAGATGGAAAATACGTGTGGTTCAAAGATTACAGCTTGAGGATCACATTCATACATAAATCATTGTAATATGATAATAGTGACAATAAATGTGACCTTCTTCATCTCTAGTGTATATCTTTACTCTATAACGAACAATCCTCATATTGAAAATGAAAAGTGCAACAACTTCACTCTTGAGATTGTTCCAAAGACAAAAAGATAAACTTGAGAGTGGTGATGGGAGAAGGAAGGGTGACCGCTTGAGAGCTTATGAATGGAGCACTTGATCCCGTTTTTGATGCTAACCTTGCAACCTTGATCGTTTGATGTGCAAGAAGAACTACCTAGAAACTAAAACTACAGCATGTTGTTTCCTGGCCATAATATTCTGCAAATCTGGAAATGTTCTGCAATGCTGGGTGATATTCTGCAGTGCTAGAAACACAAGAAATCTGAGAAAAGTGGTGATTTCCTAGTGGTTTTAGCGTGTAGGGTAGTAGGTCGAAGATGGAGTATTTTTTAAGAGGAAAAATGAGAGTTTTGGTACGTGAGGAAGAAAGGCTAAAGATGTATGTCTCCCCCCGTTTTTGTGTTGCATACGCTTGTATATCTTGGAAAATGAAAGGCAGATAATATATATATGCAATGGCATTGTTGTACTTTTTGGTTGATGGCTTAGAGGTGTCCAGATAGGTTTGGGTGAGTTGTCGAACTTTCGGTGGCTCCGGGTATTGCCGGCAACTCTATGACAATGGCATCATGAATGGCCCAATGGTTTTAGCGAAGCTTCACTGGTTTTAGTGAAGAACTAAAAATTGTGTATTTCTAGCAATGCCTTCAGCCATACGAAATCTCATTTTTAGGGGAGTGCTTGAGTGCAGCTGGCAAAAACAACACCTGCACAAGATTTGGTAGGTTCCCTAAGCTCTACAGGGGATTTTGGAGGATTCTGCAAGCAAATAGTAATCTTTTGCAATAGTTTTCAAGGTCATGGAACTTGTGTAGTCACCTCTGCATTAAATATGGTTGCAAGTTACTAATAGTGACCAAGACAGCATCTCTGGTTAGTTTTTAACGGAATTTCTAGCCTTTGGTTAGCATCAAATGGTATTGTTCCGAAAATCAAGTTTGCTCCCACGTCTTTGCTACCCAGCCCTTTCTGGTGAAGTTGGGCAACATCGCCAACGCCAAGCTTCATTGGCGTGGATACCTTGCTTTGCCAAACAGGTAGCGTTCACCCATCCATGCTTACCAAGCCACTACTCCCATAATTTATCATGAGTAATTCCCATGAGCTTGGGTTCATGGGCTTGTGTTTATCTACAATAACAGCAAAGCACATGTAAATATACGTTCAAGTATTTAAACATAAGAAACGTAAAAAATATATGCAGCGAAGAAGGGAATGCCCTTGTGTATTAAAAGGGCTGTGTGGATGAATGTTCGTTGCTCTCATTTGTTTGTTGGCCATGGCGAGCATCAGTATATTACTGTTGTACATGGCTGGTGTTGCGCCAAAATGAGGAACAAGTGATATGGGTGTGTATTGTGATATCGTTGTCCCAAGCCAAGCTTCGCTAGCTGGCAATACCTGTTAGCATGTAAGACATAGGAAATATGTATTATGAGTCAGGATTACCGGTAATCGATAATTTTGTCTCTTTATGTAGAAGAGTGATAATGTGCATGACCTCCAACCATGTTATGTATGTATTGTAGGGTCAGCCATGAATAGTTGTTGACGACCACTTAAAAAGGGATTAAGTGTGAAAATATAAAAGAAAAGGGAGTCGCCACTCATCCAAATTATAAGGTGGGACAAATCACCTAAAACGAGTTTGCGCAAAGATCGAGGTTCGGAGGTTCGATTAGGAGTGAGGAAGGGCATATGCGCACCTCACAATCCTCCGTTTAAACACGGTTGCATACTTTAAAATTGAGGTTTTGATTCAACTTATTTATTATATTTATATTTGAGTCTTAAAAAACAAACTTAAAAAAAGAGATAAACCGAATCAAAACATTTTTTTTATTTTTGGACTGAAATAGACAATCAAGAACATGCAAGCATCATAAGCACAAATAACATAAAAGGGACTAATTTGATTAAATTCGAAAACATAAAAGACTGATTTAAAAAGATTTGAAACTTTGGGACTGAATTGCTTAATCATAAAACTTATGAGTGAAATTGAGATAAAATAAAAGATAACTTTGAGTTTGACCAACATTAAAGTTAATTGAAAATTGAAATTAATTAATTGAGATAATTAGTCTAATTAAATAATTAACTTAACATTAATTAAAATTAATCGCATTTACTAATCTTTAATTAAGATAATCAAATAAATCTAATTATCTCAAATTAAATTTTCATAAATATGATTAATTTATTTTGATTAAAATTAATTAACTTCATTAATCATAAATTAAACTAACTCACCTAATT